TACCTGACACCTATAGACAAGAATATGAAAATTATCCTACAACTACATTTATTCCCTTGGCATATACATTAAAAGTCCTTTGTCCTTTAATTGTTACAAAGATTGTAAAGCATTATTAAAATGACAATTATTTACATCACAAAAATACTGTGAACTTTTACAACATTCTTAAACTTTTCATAGGCTTTATCATTAAGCACTCTAGACCTGCCCCATTCTATCTCTGTCTCTGTTTCTCACTCCCTCAGATCCCTCTGTGTTTATTGCAGGGCTGTAAGACTCTTGAACTGGCCCATCTTTTCCACCTTGATCATACAGGGCTATGAGCAAGACTATAAGCTTTTTTTTTTGTCTTTTTCGTTTTTATCAGTACCGGGGATCGAATTCATGACTGCCTGCTTGCAAGGCAGGTGCTTATGCTGCTGAGCTAAATCCCCAGCCCCAAGACTATAAGCTTTAAAAAAATATTCTCCAAACATACACTCTATCTCTCTGACATACACAGAGTGAAGGTAAGTGAACCCCGTATTTTACATGCCCTTCCTATTAGATCATTCCCCTCAGTTGTAGGGTTTGTAGGAGACCAGCATGTTGCCTCTCCCTCTTTCTTTTTTTTTTTTAAATTTTGACACCTTTAACCATATGAACTAGACTTGTGGTTATATAACAAAATCTAAAACAAACCAGAAAATTGTATACAGTAAATATGCCCTTGGTATGGCAGTTTTACCATCAAGGGAGAAAATTTAAACAAGGTTGGGGGATAAAATGGAGAAATAGAAGAGGAAGACATTAGAAGCAAGGCTAGAGGACAAAGGAAGATTACCCAAACTTCAGGAAACTGGTGAAGAAGATAGCAGGGAAAGAGAGAAGGAAGAAATATAAACAAGAACAGAACAGAACACCAAGAAAACTAGAAATAGTATTCACAAGCGTTTTCTGATGCAATAGAGAAGCATAAGTAAAAAAAAAGAAAAGAATGGGTGGTTTATTGAGGACGTGGAAAGGAGCACACAACCCATGGCCGTTGGGCTGTCTCCTTCGCCTGAATACAGAGAGACGGAGGGTTATATGATCTCTGATCAGAAGTGTTGCATGGGGCAGACAGTGATGATGTTTGAGGAACTGATTGGAATTTTCTTGGAATGCAAACAGGAAGGGGAGCTGCAATTAGGGCTGAAGAAGAAGCAGGAAGTGGTAAACGTCCCCACTTTGGCCTTCTGCCACGTTAGACCACCACCATAATTGTACAGTAATTTATACTAGGGCAAGAACCTTTCAACACTTATATAAAAATAAGAAGGGAAAAAAAAAACAAGAAAAGAAAGAAAAAAAGTCCACTTCAAGGCGTCACTGGTAGATAAAGTGAAAAACAGAGCCCAGATCCATATTGATTAATGCCAGAAAGCTAGCGGTAAATTTATGGTGAGGTACTGGATAATCCCAGTGAGCCCGCACCTTTAGTTCTACTGAAGTTCAGACTGGTTTCTAGCTATGAGGCTGGAGCCCGATTTGTTCAGCCTGCAACACTCTGTGTGGTTCCTGCCAGCCTGGGCTCAGCTCCTTGGCCTTCTGCTGACTTGAACTCAGTTCTGCCTCATGCTGACACTGGAAACTGCTAGGTGGAGCCAGCAGTTGCTCTGAGTTCCCAGCTCATTTGTCCCCTCTCCAAGATGCCTCCTGACAAATCACTCTTCTTTATTTATTGTGTTTTTGAGATAAGGTCTCACTGTGTGGTTTAGGCTGACCGTGAGCTCACTTTGTAGCCCAAGCTGGTTTTGAACTCTCAGTGAACCTCCTGAGTTCTGGGATTACAGGCATGTGCCACCATGCCTGGTCACCGTCTTTGAGGTGGTGACCTGAATAACTCATCTCTGTTTCACTATTGTGTTTTTCTGTGGAAGCCTCTGAGGTTTCTGATAGCCACAGTGTCTTCATGTTTGAGCTCCCCTTTCACACAGTGAGTCAGGGTTCAGGGAGAAAGTGCCACTTTCTACCTCTTCCTTCTTCATTGAGGTCTCTCTCTTTACTCTCTCTGTGGGCTTCATTTGTCACTTCAGATCCTTGTTGGGTTCCGGAAACCCACTTCTCTCCTTCTTTTCCTCTTGTTGCTATATTCCAGTATCTGGACACCAAATTTCAGAGAGGCTGTTTCTCTGATACTGACCATTCTGCCATTTCCCAGCATCTCTTATTGTGGTCATTGTTTTAGTCTCTCATGTACATGAATGGTGTGCACATAAAAGAGACCACCTGAGCTGTCACATTTCATCAAGTACCACAAACTGTGAGCTTCTAATGAATGCTGCTGCCCTCAGAATCCATGCATGGTTAAACTAAAATAAAACTAACCTTGTACGCGTGGGCTGTGCCACAGTATCAGCTGTCTCCTTACTCTCCTCTCTTTGGCTACACACATTTGTGACAGAAGCATGAGCTATGTTTCTGTTCTTTTGGTGGAGAAATGCTGGAGATTGCACCAGTGAAAGTATGCTAAGCACATGTACCACTCATCTACACTCTCATGTTTTGGCCAGGGCAATTGATTCTAGCAAAAAGCAAGCTTTCTCTTGCGCTTACTGGCCTCACTATATGAAAATTCTTGTGAAGTACTGCCCTGAGTGATGATGTCATAATCTTCTTCCCCCAGTCAAAGCTCCAGTGTCATTTTCCTTTCTTCCTCCCCACTCTCAGCTGCTGACCTTTTTTCCTTCATCTGAAAAAATGGGAGCCATCAGAAGGTGAATTCCAAAGCTCCCATGATAGCTCCCCAGTGAGCTACAGGTGTGCCTGCTCATGAGCTCCACTCTGTGATACAACAGATGAACTATGTATACACACCCAAGGCCAAGTCTCTCACTTGCACAGTAGCTCACAACCCCTTTCCTCTATGCATTGACACTGCTCCAGCAATCAGTTCCTCTCTGTTTCCTTCATCATCATCATCTGTTCTATTCATATTTAAATGTACCGCAACATTTTCCAGCTAAAAACAATTTTAAAAATTAAAAAGCACTCCCTCTCCACTTAAACAGCTCCTCCAATTTCTCCCTGTTTCTGTTTCCCTTTACAGAAGAAGCTCCTCTGTCTACATTTCTCCCTTTCCCTCTCCCTCCCTACAAGGTCTAGCTAAGTTGCCCAGGCTGGCCTTACAGTGATCCTTTGGCCTCAGCCGCCTTAGTGGCTGGGATTATAGGTGTGTATGGTAATCACACTTGGTTCCCTTTCTTTCTTCAACAACATACAGGAAGACTTTAACCTTACTGCACCACTGTAATTACCCTTATCAAAATCCCTAGTGCCCTTCACATCTCCCTCTTCATTGGGTCATCTTCCTCAACAGATCAACACACACAGTTGATCACTCTCTCGACCTTGAGGCTCTTTACCTGCCTCCCAGGATTCCATACTTTTGATTGTTCTCTTCACAAACCTCTTGATTTGTTTTGATGGTTCCTCCTCTTCTACCTGGATTCTAAACACTAGAGAGATTTAGAGCCTTGCCTTTGGATTTCTTTTTTCCACTTCTTACTAGTCCTCAGCTGTTGTCATCTTGTCCTGTTGCTGTAAATACTGGCCTATATGGATGACTTTCAAATTTTATTTTCAGTGTGGATCTCTTTGCTAAATTCCAGATGTTTATGTCCAACTGTGTTCAGAACATCTGCCCTTAGATGTCTAATAAGCATCTCAAACTTGAACAGAAACAAAGCTGAAGTCCTGGTTTTCTTTTACTCTCCTTCAAAAGCCCTACTCCTCTCTCAGTATTGTTCAACCCAGTAAAGAGCATTCACCAATTTCTTAGGTTAAGAATGCAGAGGATTTGACTAAGATAAAGTCTCTAGATTAATTTTGACACTTTTTCCCTTTATTCTCCAAATCCGAACCACTATCAAGTCTTATTGACTGTACTTGCAAAATACATGCCCAATCTGTGTTTCTTATAGCTACTTGTCACTTGTTCTCCCCTTCCACCTTAATCTGCTCTTCCTTGGGCTGACAGGTGTAAGCCTTCCTTCCGCCATTGCAAGCATACACATGGATTAGGAGACTGATTTTGTCAAGTCCTCTTCCTAAGAGCCCACATGCCAAACTCTGACTTTCTTACTATCCATTCTGTATATATAGCCTGGTGGTGTTTCATGTATACAGCAGGGATAATGATCATTACCTTATACACATTTTATGAAAATAAATGTTATAATATAACATATTATAATATAAATAAATAAATGGAAAGCACTTTGCCAATAATAAATGTTACACTGGTGTGAGAAATAAAAATGAAGGAAAAGAAAGAAAAGGAAAACAGTAAGTTGTAAATAATGAATTTTCCTGAATTGAAGGTACATATGTGAATACACACAAACATATAGCATGGCTGGATAAGGCATCCATAACTCTCTCTGTCTCTCTCTGTCTGTCTCTGTCTTTCTCTGTCTGTCACACACACACACACACACACACACACACACACACCCTTATACCCTCATGTGCACACAGTATATAGAAGAGTGAACCCCCACACTTGCTTTCTCTCTTCCATGCCTTGAGTGTAGGACCGTTGGCGTCTTAATTACCCTCCCACACCCAAGGCTTGCAGGAGGGTGAGCCTTCTCTTCTTCTCCTGTGTAAAGGCCTGAATATGTACACATTACCAAAGGGATGTAGCCCCTCTCTCCTATGCCCTGGCAGGGGATACATTTATGCGTACCACTGCCACCAGCCATCTACTTCCAATGACTGCCCCACTTCAGTGTGTGCCCTTCCTGGTTCACCCCTTAACTCCTCTCCCATGACTGGATTGGTCCCCACATGCAAGCCCTGAGCCGCTGCCCTTTGCTTTCTTGGACCTACCTGCACACCGTGCCAAGAGAGCGAGCTCTTCCCTGCTCCCTCTCTCACATCCCTTGCATGGTGGAGGGTGAGCTTTCTGGAAACCCCTCCCACATGCAGGGTTTGCAGGATGGTGAGCTTCAGCTTTCCTTGCTCTCTTGTGCATGTGCACATCCATCTAGGTACATCTTCATGAAAATAGACAAGCCCAGTTGGTGGGAGGAGGAGTGCCTTTCCGTCCTTTTTTCCAGCTCAGCCATCTGAATATCTTGCCAGAGAGGTACACTTTTCTTCCTTTTTTCTTGTGCAGAGTGTAGGCCCTCACGTTCCAGGATGAGCATAACCTGGAAGGAAAGGAAGTCTTTTGAGTTGGTCCTGCCTTGCCAGCCCCTAGGGAAAGAAAGAGTGGCTTCTCAGCATTCCATACAGGGAGAATGAAGGAAAAGAAGCTTCTAGCTAATTCTTACAAACCCAAGATGTGAGGGATATTGCATCTCTTCCTTAATATGTATATGTGTATATAACTATATAATATATATTATGTTCACATGCACAGTGAGGGTGCAGGGAGTGGAATTCCATCACTATGCCTGGCTTCCTATATATGCACACTTACTTGCACAAATGGATGTATATATGTCTTAGACATTCACATGAGTCAGAGTGTGAGCTTATCCTCATCTTTTACCAGGCTCAGGATTTGTAACTGATTTATTTTGTAAGCAATTTACTCATTATGTAAATATTTATTGAGCATCTACTATATATGGGATACTCCCCTATGTCCGGGAATATACTAGTGAGCAAAAGATAAGAATAGCTGCCTCCATAGAAGTCAGGCACTAAACAAAATGAGTGAGTAAAATATATAGTGTCAGTTGGTAATTAAGTGCTCTGGAGAACGATGAAGCAGGAAAAGGTGATACAGGGTGGCTGGGAGAAGTTGCCATGGAGATGGTGATAGAGAAATTTCAGTATTAAACAGGGCAGCCAGGAAAGACCTACTGTGTTCTAGACACAAAAGAGCTATTGTGGCAGCAGTAGAGATGGAGGCAGTAGAAAAATATGATGGAGAACAGGAAAAGCTAATGATTAGGATGTATCTGTAAAAGATAAGCATGCTGTTTAAAAATAACTATTACTGTTGCACTTAAAAATAATTACCAATAATTTCTGAACATCATCACATGTCTACTCAAATTTCAACTTGTCTCAGAAATATTAGGACCCAAATAAGGTTACAAGTTGCATTTGGTAGATAGGCATCTTGATTCTTTGAATTATAATTTCACCATCTTATCTATGTACTTTTTCTTTTCTTACAATTTATTTGTTGGAAGAAAAGCAGCCCATTCTTCATATATGTTTTTCTATAGTCGGGATTTTCTAATACATATCCCTATGACGTTGTTGACATGTTTCTTTTCCTTCTTTGCATTTCCCATAAATTGATAGTAGCATCTAGAAACCTGATCACATTTGGGCTTAATTTTGGGGAAACAGCAGGACTATTTCCATCAAGATACCACGATGACTGATTTTCTCTTTCTTTGATGTTAGTTTGCCATTGATGCTTAATTCCTAAAGCCATTATTTCATAAGGATTTGCAAAATGATGATATTCTTATTTCATTCTTCTCTCTTCATTTATTAGCTGGATTACTTTTATAAAGAAAAACTTCCCTCATCTACTATTGGATTATCTAGTAATAAAGTTTTTATAGGAAACACAGGATAAATGATTATCTTTATGTATCAGAACTCAAAATAATGATTGTTTTACTAGCTTATTTCACAGAATACTTTTTTTAAAAAACAAAAACATTATGATAAACCAATAGATTTAAATATATTTGGTTTTTCAGTCCATTGGAGTTCTTTTGTTCAGTGAAGCTCAAATGTCCCATCTTTGGCCAATATGAACTTCTTCAAACTGGCTCTCTAGACTTTTTGCTATGGTCTCAGTAGTTATTTGATAACTTCTGTGCTTTCAGCAAAGGAATATGTTCCCAACTGATCTCAGATTTGTCCTTCCCCAGATCTGGAGTCTGTCTGGCTTGCTTTTAGTCATATATAATACTTAGAGATCATATTCTGGCACCAGGAGTACTCATTACCTCTGATTGAGCATTGTGTTTAGGTTTCTTCAAAATTAGAACAACAGCATAAAGTTTGTGGTTACTTTGTTGTATTTCTAGATAAAATACATCATGAGTTCATCCACACATTCCAATTCAAAATCAGGGTTACTGGAGTTTTACATGTCCTTCTTTCACAAATATTCTGACCGTGGTGTGGTGCATGGTGGGGAATAAGTGCAGAAATAGTAGCACAGGCTAGGAAACCATTGAAATAACTCAGATGAGAGACTGATTTTAAAGTTTTAAACTAGATTTATTGATAGATGGGATGCAAAAGAGATGGAAGAGTCAAAGACTGAACCTTTTCTTTCCTCTTTCTCATGTGAGTTGGGTACCCACATGGACTTTGTCTCTCTAATCATCAGCACTCAGATGTATGTGCTGCCCCAGCACAGTGCACCTGGGCAAGAGCTGATGAAGGTTTGGCAGCTGCTGCAGAGAGGAAGAGAGCACCTGTGATTTCTTCTAATTCCTTTCTCAGAGCTCTTTGAATGTGTCTTGGATTTGAGGATTGGATATGGACAAAGCATGAGCGGCCCTGGGCTTATTACATGGTGAGATTGTACCCCAGCATAAAATCCTTCACTCCCTTTGAGTCTGCCTTCATGGATTTAGAGGGCTCAGAAAAGTGATCTTGTGTTTTCTCCCATGCCACCCTTGGGACACAGGTACTTGAGCCTTCTTATTTGCTCCTTCTCTCTAATCCTTTGTACTTGGCTGGTAGTGTTTTTGACATGCAGTGCACCTGGGCAAGGATTCAGAGTGAGATGAGCCTTATTTACAGGTGGAAGGATGGAATACTTGTATGTCAGCTCTCTCTTGTCTGCCTGCCAGCATGTATTTATAATCATGCATTGATTAACAATAGAGATTTCTGGCTGGGGATTTAGTTTAGCGGTATGAGTGCCTGTCTGGTGAGCATTGAGATTGTGAGTTCAATCCCTAGTACCAACAAAACAAAACAAAACAACCCAATAGAGATTTCTGAGAAATATGTAGTTGGGCATTTTGTCATTGTGAAAACATCAGAGTGCCCTTTCATAAACTAAGATATCTCCAACATCACTGGGTGATACAATCTTATGAGACCACTGTTGCATGTGCAGTTTGTGGTTTACTGAAATGCTGTTGTGTGATGCATAATTGCAGTTCCTACTATGAGCCAGACAGTCTGCTGGGCGAAAGGACCTAGCAGTGACTAGGATAGCCATAGTTCCCTGAGAATACTGCCTAGTAGCATATTTACACCCACTTTGCAGGTGCACATACATGCTGGGGATGCTGCAGGATGAGTTTACTCTTTTTGTTTTTTTATCGGTACCAGGGATCGAACTCACGACTGCCTGCTTGCAAGCAGGCGCTTATGCCGCTGAGCTAAATCCCCAGCCCCCATGAGTTTACTCTTTAGTCCCCACTCGCTAAGCATCTCACTTTTTCCCTAGGACACACTGGTATCTAGGGATATAAACTTGTATGTGCAGAGTTGCACTGACATGGTAGGCAGGGGTGGAGTCTTCTTCCCTCCCCCTTTTCTCTCACACTTCTCAGCAGGGGTTGTGGGCTGTTTCAGTATTCTTCCCTCATGTGGCTGTGGAATGGAGGTGCACTTGCTTGCTAGCTCTGTCATTTTTGTGCATACACAGATGCTCACATGAACATGTATGCCCCAGTAAGGTAGAAAGGAGAATGAACATGTAAGGGAGACCCCACATAATATGTGGGCATGTGAGACCCCACATAATATGTGGGCAAGGTAGGAAATATGGACGCCTTTTTGTTTCATACTCACAGAGCAAATGCCCACATTCGCAGCCATGGATTTATACTTACCCTCCCACCCTTACACACACAGCAGAGAAAGTGAAAATTTGAGAGCCCTTGTATGAAGGAACGGCAACTTCATTAATTTAGGGAGACTGAAGAAGAGACTCATCAACTTATAAGAATAAATCCATGCTTCACACCCACAGATACTCACAGATATTAACTCCTATTCCCTCATGTAGATTTTGCATGCAAGAGTGTGATCAGCCTGTCTTAAAATGCACATTCATGCAAATACATAAATATTTAAAGTGGAGCATAAAGGTAAAAATAATAGTTATGTCTAAGTACTATGTTCCACTTTAGATTTGTCATCTTATTTCATTTTCAGGCCATTTAACAGGTGGGCCTTGTTATCTTCATTTTTGAGAAGTCCCATGTGACCCTGGGAAAATCAGGTTGATTCCTTAAACTAGTATGTTGTAGAATGTGAATTTGAAGTCCATCATTTCCCCACCATATCCCTGATTTTCTTAGTGAGGTCCTCAGGCCAGCAGCATCAGCATCTCGTGGGAACTTGTCAGAAATGCAAATATATGGGTCCTAGGCATACAAAATCAGAAACACCTGTAATCTGTCTCAGGCCAAAGCTGTCCAGGTGATTTTCATGAATGTTACCATTTGAGAGCAAGTGTGCTAATCTATCCTGCTTTATTACGTAGCCTCACAAATGATTTGTGAGCACAAAAAAAAAAAAAAAAAACCCTTTTCATTCTCTGTGACCTCTCATACTCCTTTCCTTCTAGTCTCTTTATTCCTACAGGTTTATACTTTGGTGTTGCTGTTATTGGAGAAAACAAAAATATGTGTTCAACTGGACATCTTAATGTGAAGCTCAAAAACCTCCGCTTTGCTTCTTTTCTTTGCAAGTAAGTAGCTTGTGTGAAGAAGAGTAACTTTCTTGTTAACCTTCGGGGCTTTCTGCTTTGCTCTCCCGGTCTAATCCTTGCTACCCGAGTGAGAGTGCTGTCTCAATGCAATGCATCTGGGCAAGAGAAGGGTTCTGTGAGCAAGGGCTCTGTGTATGGAACAGAACTCCTTTCTGTCCTCCTCCTGTGCATCCCACATATTGACCACCTCTTTTATATGGAATGCTAAGTTGGGAAGTCAGCATACAATAAGACATGCCTGGCCCCTGCCCTCTGGAAGCTTACAGTTAAGAAGAATGGAATCCCACCTCCATGCCCTGAGAGGGAGTACCCACGGACACATATATAAAAGTATGTCTTCTGTGTTATCACGTGGAACTATTCAGAAGAGAGCATTCTCTGCCTATCGGTATGATTACTAATAAATCTGTGAGAGAAAGGGCAGGACTGAGGGCTCAGGACCCACACACACGTGTGTGTGTGTGTGTGTGGGTGGGTGTACACTCACAAATGTGCTTATACAAATGTACCTTTCTGCACAGAGTATTTTAGAGTATTTTCACAACTGAGCAGGAAGAAAGGTAAAGAAATGGATCTGTTCCATACAGCAGCAGAAAGAGAAGGAGCAGGAAAAAAGCTTCGCTCATTTAATCCCTTTCTATGGAAGAGTTAAGCAAGATCCCTATATGCAGGGAGCCGGAGAGGCACAGCACAGCCATTGTCCTTTTGTCCTTCCCTCAAAGAACAAGACTTTTTGTTTTGGATACACACATGTATGTACGCACAAACGCACGTACTCACACATGCACAAACACACTGGGCAGATACTTGAGCCTTATCTGTTCTTCCTCTCAAATCCTTGGGAACCTAGGTGTGAGTGCTGCTTCAGTGCAACACACCTATTCAAGGATTCAAAGAGGCTGAGCCTTGTCTGCATGTCGAAGGACTAAGTACCTGTACTTCGCCTCTGCCACCCTACCACCTTCCTTTCAATATTTGTTTGGTATGAGGTGCCAAACCCCATGCCAAGCCTTACAGATATAGTGATGAATAAAGTAGCCAATGTCCCTGGGTTTTTTAGAGGGCACTTACAGGGAAATGAATTTCACTACACCTAGGCTTCTACCTCTGTGGAGATACCATGATATAGAAACATACATTGGATGATGAGACTCAGATGACCACTAATTGCCCTCAACAAGCTTAGAATTGAGCAGAGGAAGAGAAAATAAAATATTCCCTTTGCTGTGCCATCCTCCAACATGTGTGTACACGTGTGCCTCTCAGCCTTCTCACTATATCCACACACTGAGCACATGTGGACTCTCAAGTGTGATCTGCAAAAGATCCATTCCAGAGGTTTAAAAGAGCACAGCTATGTGACCTGTATGTGGAAATGAACATTGTCTGCAGACATTGTCTGCCCCTCCAGAATGGGCATCTGTCTTAGATGTGCACAGTGGTTCTTCGCTGGCACTGGACCAGGAGAGACACCCAAACAAGGTACAGGTATCCAGGCCTTTTGCTTTGCTCCTCCTCTCTAATCCTTTGTCCCTGAGTGAGAATGCTTTCAGAATGCAGTGCTCCCAGGCAAGGGTTCTGAGAGGGCGAGCCTCCTCTGCATGGAGAAGGCCAGATCTGCATATTGCCTCTCATCTGCTTCTTGTTGGCCTGCATTGTATCTGCCCCCTGCCCCTCATTTGTTCATTCCTTTCTCAGATAATATGTCTTGGGCACTGTGCAGGACATGAGACATAGAAGAGTAAGTAAGACATGCCAGGGAAGGGGAATGAACTTGTTCACTACCCACCACCCCTACCTATACTGAGGTTGAGTTGGACAGACAGAGAACTTCTTATCTAACCACCCCTCTATCCTGAACTCACAAGTGTGATGCTTCTCATTCTGACTGTCACACTGACTTTGTAGAGAAGCTACTTTAGTTCAATTCTGGATCAATGCACTGGGCAGGAACAGCGAACCGTCTTGTTAAAGCCACATGCCAGCTGTGCAAGTGATGTTATTTTCTGTTCTGGCTCCCCCTCTCTAATCCTTGCTACCTGGGTGAGAGTGCTTTGTGAATGCAGTGCACCTGGGCAAGGGTTCTGTGAGAGAGAGCACCATCTTCACACGAGACAGCACCTGTTGGACTTGTGTCTACCCTTTGACTACTCACTATCTGTTGAGTGCCTAGTCTGTGGTAGGCACTGTTCTGGGAACTTGGCTCACAGGAGAATGAGTCATACCTGGCTTCTGCCAGCAGAGAGCATACTGTCCTAGGAGAATGGACTTCTCATTCATATGGTCACATGTCCTGAGAGTGGGTGAACCACAGATTGGGATTTATGTGCCTCTCTGTCTGTCTGTCTGTGTCCCTGGTCTCAGAGATTTGTAGGAGAAAATATTCAAAACTTTGGGATAATTCCATACAAATGTACCAATGTGCAGGGGAGTCAGCCCAGCTGGCCATTCACACTCAGACTTGCACCCACAGAGTGGGCTCACCAACCTGCTGTATTCCTCACATGCTTTCAGGCTGGACATAGGTACTGCCTTGAATCCCAAGAACTCTAAGGCAGAGCGTCTTGTCTACATTCAAAGTTTGGGATCAAATCCCTGCACATCAACTGTCTCTCTCTGCTTCTCCCTCCTTCTTCAGATAGTCATAAGTATCTATTAGGTGGCAGGTACTATTTTGGTTAGAGAAGATATAGTAGATCAGATGGACAAGGTTACTACCTACATTCTGGTAGAGAACTTATATATACACTGTGGTCATGAATGTTGTAGACTAATTGGCTGCTGTTCAAAGTAAATGTATATGTTTTTCTCTACCCAGTCTGCATGCAAAAACATTTATAGGTTCTGTTCACTGAGATTTCTCAAACTCTGCCCACGCCAGCCCTGCTGTGCCCTAAGACATAACCCAGAGATGTGGACCTGTGTGCAGTGAACTCACTTACTTGTGAAAATACTCTAAAATACTCTGTGCAGAAAAGTATACTTGTATAAGCACATTTGTGAATGTGTGTGTGGGTCCTGAGCCCTCAGTCCTGTCCTCCCTCTCAAATCCTAGTACTTGTGTACAAGTGCTGTGTCAGTGCAGTAAGCCTAGTGAAAGGCTGAACCACGTCCATATAGAGCATAGTTCCTGTATATAATCCCCATCCTTTGTTCACTGGTGCTTTTAACTAATAGTGTTGGTTCCCTGTCTGTGGGACAGGATGAACAAGACTGGTACCAACCCATCCTCACATCTGCAATGGGCATGTTAATACAGTTAACTTTCTCATTATTGCTCATCATAGACATATGCCAGGGAGTGAATGTTCCAATTACCCCCCTTTCTTCTCTTTTACACACACACACACAGAGTGCTCGTATCTCCTGTGTCTCCTGTACGTACAGATGTATCCACAGTGTACATAGGATGAGAGCATCATGAACACCCATGTCTGGTGTGGAAGGCAGTACACTTTTCTCCATGCTCCTTTCATGGCCAGAGCTGCTTATTCCTCATTTCACACATTCATAAACAGAAAAGATATTTCACCTTTGTGTGACCCTGGGTAAGCCATCTATGAGAAGGAGACTGTTGTTTCTTGTGCACACACACATGATCTGAAGATGCCTGAGCCTTCTACTCAAATCTCTTTTATTATTGGAACTTGGTTATGAATGGTGGCCCAGTTAATTGACCTTGTTCAGAAATTCAAGGAGAGGGAATCTCATCCATGTTTAAAAGCTTAAAGTTTTTATGTTACCACATCACCCTTTCCCCCATTCTTTCATTTCTTTATTTCTTATTCAGAGTGATGGTTCTCAAAGTGTGATCCCTAGATGAGTAGCATGAGAATTATCTGGGAACTTGTTCAAAATGCAAGTTCTTTTTTTTGTAGGTTTTTTTTTTTAATTGGTACCAGGGATCGAACTCACAACCGCCTGCTTGCAAGGCAGGTGCTTATGCCGCTGAGCTAAATCCCCAGCACCTAAAATGCAAATTCTTGAGTTCCATCCCTGGTCTACTAAACCATAAACCACAGCTATATATACCCTTAAAAGTTTCCCAAGACTGATTCTGATGTTTGCTCATGTTTGAGACTCACTTAATTTTGTTCCAGTGTTGGTGACACAGTGATAAACAAGTCAGATGAGGGAATATTTCTCATGTATGTTTATGTAGGATGTAACTGGGAGGACATCATCTATGGAACACAGCTACCCAACATGTGGGTGGCCTCAGCGCTACTTCTCTGGAGTGGACCTCACATTTTAAATGTATATATGCACACACAGATATGCACTTGGTGTGCAGAAGAGTAAACTGCTCCTTTTCCCATACCCATTGCATATCGGAGTTGTGAATTCTTAAAATATCTCCTGTATGCATGGATTATAGGAGGATGAGCTTTGTCATCATGAACCTTCTGCCAAACAATTCGATTAGCACATCTTTATTCATCACTGATGGTGTACCATACACTGTGTTGGGAGCACCTTCCCGAGGAAAGGACAATATCTGTCTCTTTAGGACTTCTTATCCAGTAGAGCTTTCCTTGGCTGAGAGATACCAGGCATGCAATTGTGCTAGGAGTAAGCCTTCTCCTTCTTGTCTACAGAGACATGCTCCCCTGTGCTTGAATGTATACACACACACACACACACACACACACACATACATACAGGAAAATGAAAGGTGAGGGAAGGGCCCTTTTATCTCCACTTGCTTTCAAGAGTTGCACACACTCAAATGAGTATCTGGTGTGCATGAGCCTCAATCCTGATTTTGCTGACCTTTGCCTATCTTTGCAGCCTTGGCATGCATGTCGTCTTATCAGTGCATTGTATTCACGTAAGGATATGTGAGCCTCTTTCGCATGTGGGACAGAGCCTGTGTAGCACTTTGCTTTGCTTTGCTCATTCTTTCAGTAAATCACTTGCGTATGCATTGTTGGGTCCATCTATCTATGTATTCATCCATATCTTTAACAAAATCACCG